TCAGGATATTAGTCTCTTACTGTCGGCAGGAATTTCCGTCATTTGTAAATTAGCTCAAGAACTGCAGTGATGGAAATTCTCATCATCCATAGTCAATGCATTAAGAGTCTATTGACAACATTGAACTCTGGTTTGTCTCAAATAATTTAATCTATTATTCATATAGTTTTAAATATTGTAGGAAAATGCTACTTATATTCTGTAGTACATTTTTCTCTTTCCTCTGTAGATTGAATACAAACTGAAGTGTTACTTTACTTTTGAGCAGGTGTAAATATAGACTTAATAAGCTATAACCCTTTGTGCATATGTGCTTTATTTTATTTCTACTTATTTTTTTTTATATAACTATATGGGTTTTGCATAATCTTCAAATATTCACTTTATTTTTTTTAAGGTGATCATGAACATTTTTATATTAAATTTGGAATCCTTGTCATTAGGGCTCAAGATTAACATCATCCCAGGAACAATAAAATATTAGCAACTAATTTCTTAAAATAAAAAATCTTCTCAATTTTCACTGATAATGGCAGGCTTTTAATAACACACACGCACACAATCTCTAAATAAACAAAACATCAGCACTTCTTTTTAAATTGAAGGAAACCTGAGTGAAGGTTCAAGGATTTAGACTTAAATATTTGTATTATTTATCTTTAAATGTGAAAAACATTTGAGTCTAATTGTAAGAACTTTTCCCCTCCCCCTTCCAAACAAGACAGAAATGCCACTAGTATGCACGGGGGTGGGGGGTTACAGGTAGTGAAAGTGAAAGAAAAGACTGTGTATCAGGAGGATTGAAGAAAGCACAAAAGATGAATGGGATTCAAGAAGATAGAAGAGGGTGATTGATGTTGCATTTACAATTTTTGAAGATTGTTATTATCAGGAAAGCAAATAGAAGGGAATCCCATAAGTGGGAAGTGCGATTTTGCTTTAATAAACAAAGCAAGAAAATTTTTTTCTTTCAATTTTTGTTTAAAAAACCCTTGAATGAACCATTAACAAAATCATAAACAAACCTGGGAAATTTAGACAACATGAGGTTATTAAATGTAATTTAATTTTTTTTTTTTTTTTATTATAAAGAATTTAAAAATATTTTTTTGTTTGCAGATAGTTGAAATATGCTAATATTCTTTATATAAAAAGACAGCACAATTCTTAAAATATGGTAACAGTTAGTCTAAATATGAAAATTAAATTGTATTTATTCATTTTTAAAACTATATTATTTTACCTTTTTAATTTATTTCATAAATATTTTAATGATGTTTTTATTTTGCTACTAACAACTAAAAATAGCATTTTGATTTCGGGATGATTTAAAAAATTTTCAGGATAAAAAGTCATTTCCTGGGACAGTTCCTGGACAATGGTAAAAAGAAGTTAGCCTGGAGCCCTGCTTATCATTCCAGGTGGAAGGGCTTAAATGAAACATTGTGCTTAAATAAGTTAAACTTGCACATCATATCATGCTTTTTGACAATCAAATTAATTTTTCTTAATTATCTTTTTTTTGTTTTTTTAATTCTTCTCTCACGAGGGGTTGATGAGAAAAAATGTTTTATTCCCTTTTGCTATATTTTGAGTTAACATTTTTTTTTTTTTAATTGTCTGGTCATTTAGAACAATGCTAATATCAAAGTCAAATATTTAGAATTTTTAGTTCTAATGTTGATGTTTCTCTCATCTTATCACTTGAAGCTTTTCTCCAGTAAGGAATAACTTAGGCATGTCTCTTGTATTTGAATCACCAGGGATTGAATATACAGCTTTTCTATATACTTAAACACATACTGAATATGTCGAGGTGGGTCTGAGAAATTTGCAGGAACTGGTAGATCACTTCTAGCCAGAGTCCCAATATGGCTTCAGGGTAGAGAGATCCATCATCGACATGATCACATTCAGACAGTTACAAGAGAAGAGGTGGTAATAGAGGCAGCAGTCATATTCTTTCATCAACCTTACCGTGTCTGAGGAAAATCAGATGCACACCAGGATTAATAAATCTCTTTCTATATTGGCATGTTGGGGACAGTGTAATTTGATGGCTCATCCTTGAAGGTATTCGTTATTCAAGGTGAAGTGAAGCACAGATGCATTCTCATCCAGACACTCTTTGGGATTTTTTTCTTCCTTATGTTGTCATACACAGTATCTGTCTATATTTCTGAGATGAGGTATTATGTACACTATTTACATTGCTCAGACTATCATCCTCATTTTTGTTGCCATATTTATCACAATGTTTCAGCTGTTGTATACTCTGGCTTTCTTCAGATGGTTGGAATGTCAAACTGAACCCTTTATTTTGCTCGCTGGGATAGACTGTTCTAGTTCCACATGCCATGTCAAATGGATGTCAGTTATCAGTTATCTCCTGTTAATTCCCCTCTCCAAGTTCTCCACCATTAAACACTTTAGTTAGATCCAGTAACAGGACCCAAAGAGAGTGAGTTCAATACCTGGTTAAAGCGGTGGAGAACTTAGAGAGAGGAATTAACAGGAGATAACTGACACCCATTAGACCTGGCACATGGAACTAGAACAGTCTACCTGAGCGAGTAAAATAAAGGGTTCAGTTCAACATTCCAATCACCTGAAGAAGGCTGGAGCGTACAATGGCGAAAACGTTGTGATAAATGATAGTCCGAGCAATGTAAATAGTTGTCATACACAATTTGAGCATTTAATGATAGTGTAACAGCGCACAAGGTCCAACACCAACCTTTTCAACCTTAGAGCAAAAACTAAATTGCATCAGGTTGTAACCTGGACGATGAAATTCACTCATGATGTCATTTTGGTGTTTCATACACTGTTTAGTCTCCAGAAGCTGGTCAGCTTCCAGACAAATGCTTACCAAGATTATCAATCTAAAGAGAAAGAATTATTATAGCCTAGAATGTCAGCAATGACACAAGCATCAATATTGGAGATAACTCCCTGGAAGTGATTGATAAATTACTCTACCTGGGATTGTCTCCAGCAACCTGTTTCTTGAAGCAGATAAGGAATGTCATCATGGCCAATCTGAGGAGCCAAGTTTGCCAAGATCCAAGCTTGTATACTGTGTAACAGTGAAAGCTGGACAATGTACATGCACAAAGAATGCTGCCTTAACAGTTTCCACCTGTGTATTTCATAAAATACTGTATGCCAAACAAGGATGACAGGTCAGAAACCCAAACATAATTACCATACTTGTGCACTAATTACTTTCTTGACCATACTTGGACATCTATGCTCTAAAGGATATTCTGTATTCAAAGTTTACCACACGATCACAGCTTGTAGGCTGCCCACTGCAATAATACAGGGATGTTTATAAACATGAAGTTATTGATATCAAAATAGATGTATGGAAAGGGATTTCTGTGCCTGAAGGTGCATTGTTTGCATAGGCATCACCGCTGTAAAGGATAAACAAACACAATTAGTGACAGAAAAGCTGCAGGAGCAACTACCCAGTTACAGCCATCAGATTACAAATGCAGCAGTTATGTCAGGAACTGCTACTCCTAAATCAGCTTTAAATTTAATAGACTTTTAGCTGGTAAATCACTGCATGTGCATTGCTGGCTATTGGAGACTTTAAATTCAAATTTGTTGGAAGTTGTGCTATTTTCCCTATTAAAAATAGGAAACAGTTGCTTTTATGTAAACAAAACATCATGGCTTCTTTTTGTTACCCACATGCACAAATTAAGGGAAAATTCTCTTCAAACTTACTTGAATACAGAAGCAAGAGAATTTGTCTAGATGTGTCATGGGCTAGCATAAAAAAGCAAAGTTTATTTTTAAAATAAAAAAAATGTTTATTTGGCATTTGACAATCTAAAGATAATCATATATGCGTGAGTTTCTCTCTCTCTCTATATATATATATATATATATATATATATATATATATATATATATACACACCTGCACACAACAGTTCAAAAGTTTAAAGTTAAGCCTTGGCAATTTTTTTAAATTGGCCTAAAAGTAGTCGTTTTGTAAATTAAATAAGAGACAGTTATTATACATGGTTTAAAAAAAAAAAGTAGGACATTATTTTTTATTATGATAAAAAGAAAAAAAGAATTTTATTATTAAATTTTGCTCTCATCAAAATATCCTTCTTTTGCCTTGCTTACTGCAGCACAAATTTTTGGCAATCGTGGCAAGTTTCTCAAAATATAAGTTTGATAAATGAAGCCTTTCTTTTCTCAATGACTGTAAGAGTACTTTTCATTTTTTTTCATTATTCTATCAAGTTTATCCCATGCTAATTCTGAAGGTGGCTTCAAACTTTTGAACTTGAGTGAGTGTGTGTGTGTGTGTGTGTGTGTGTGTGTGTGTGTGTGTGTGTATATATATATATATATATATATATATATATATATATATATGAAAAGTTTACTTAACTTTTAAATATCAATTTAAAGGGGATAAAATTGATCTTTTCATATAATATTAACACTCCATTTTTTATATTATTAATATTGAACACTATATATAAAAATATCTGCTGTTCCTTAAATCTTATATATACATATAAGAGAGATAGAGTAAATTGTTGATAACCCCTGAAGAGTAGACAGACAGGTCCACCTCTCCAACTTTGGAGTTGGGATGCTGAAGGTAGCATCGGTCAGCTAAGTTACAAACTTTTACCTACACACACACACACACGAGAAAGAGAAAATGATATATAAATTTTTATATACCAGAACAATGTTAGGAAAATTAATGTGAACATCACTTTAGTCTGATAAAATCCTAAAGGACAAAAAACATCACACAAAAATTTTTTCCACTTTATCATTAATTATCCTAATTTTCATTGTCTATAGAGAGAGATGTATGTGTTCATTTAGTTTCTATAAATCTGATCATCATGAAGGTAAGTATATTAATTCCTCTTTATTTACAATTATTATTATTTTTCTGTCATGGCATATTGAAATTCTTTCATTTTTCTTTTAGGCCTTATACTGTACACAATGTTTTTTAGAACTGAATCTATATCCAGTTGGCCTGAAGGTTTTCTTTCTGTGAAGTAAAGGAAATAAGAGAAACTTGCATGAATAAACCAAATTTTTTTTTTTTTCGAAAACTAGCATATGGCCTTTAAAAGAGAAAAAATGATAAATTTTTCAGCTTTTAAAACAATTTCATTTGCTTTTACAGAAATATTAATAAGTTTTTTTAATCAATGAAAAATAAATATTGGTGGGTGTCATAAATGGAATATATCTATATAAAGATATCTGAAAAGAGAGAGAAAATAATTAGAAAGGAAATTTTAATACATCATGTTATATGCTTTATTTTAGTCTTCTGAAATTCTGGATTGGTTTATAAAAATGCTTTTATTATTAGATATTGACTAACTTAAGTCAAAGTATTTGTAGAAAATTCATTATATTCAAATAACCTGGAGATGTTTGAGAAACATTTTAATTGTAATGTTAGGAATTGAAATGCAACTATAAAATTGGTTTCCTCTTCATCCCACGTCTTTATAACAAGCCACCAGTTAAAAAAAAAAAAAAAAATGGCTCCATCATCCATTAGTTAAACCACACTGATCATGTAATAATATTGCCAATTTCTTAAGGCTTATATTTTGTGCAGTGAGCATTTTAAAATTTTCAGAGTGAAATTATTATTGGATTGGTTGTTTGTCAGAAACCTTAAAAATTAATTTGATGGTTCATCCTTGAAAAGCGTTCTTTATACATGTTTTCAATAAAAAGCATTTTTTTCTTTTTTAATTTTTTTTTTTTTTTTTAATATAAGAAGTATTGGTGTATAAGATGCATCTTTATTTTGAAGACAAAAGTTTTGGGAAAAATGTTGCAGTCATATTTCAAAGATTTTTATTAAACAAATATTCAATTTGATACTTTAAAGATCAATATACAGGATCTCCCTAAAATCTGGACACATAGACAAAAATGTATATTTTCAAGAAATGAAATTTTCACCAAAACTTTATTGAATTAGAATATAAACAAATAACATCTTCAATATGATTTCCATCATTTATGATGCAAAGGTTGATATGCTTTGCAAGATTCACATGAACTCAATACAATAATTCCACATTTCCATCAATTTTAACACATTCACTTTGTGTTCAATCAAGTGTGTTGAATGTGTGATTTTTCATTAAGTACACCTTCTCCTTTAACATACCCCAAGAAAAGAAGTCAATTTTTACTTCTTTTAACAAAACCATATTTAATCTGTGGATGTAAAAAAAAAAAAAAATAGTTAATGAGATTTCCTCTGTGTCCAGATTTTTGGGACACCCAGTATATTGTTTTTCTAAACATAAAACAGTTTGAAACATCAAAATGGGAAAATACTGTAAATAAAAAAAAAAGAAAAAGTTTACTATTATTTAGTTTTGGTCATTGCTTTCACTATTGCTTGAAAGGAAACCGATTTCATCATTGGATCCGATATTATGATAACAAAGAATGTCATCCTCAGTCCCATCTATTGCATTACTGATACCACAATTCTTAAATGACTTAAATCATTATATCTTTTTTCCTTTTTTTCCCCTCCCCACCCATTAATTCTTCACTCACATGCACACGTGAGGAAGTGTCGGCCTATTCCTTCGTCCAGTAGTAAGATCTTCCTGTTGCATCCATTATTGATACCTTTGACATATAGGACGCAGACTTTGACATTAAATTTTGGCAAAAAAAAAGGGAGTCTTATACACTGAAAACTACAGAACTTGACATTTACTGAACTCAGCATTCCTTAACATGATTGTCTGAGCCAAACTGCTGGGTTTACTTACAAACAACTTACAATTGTAAAATAAGTCAACAAGTGAAGAAGAAAATGAAAGTCTCATAAAACTTAGTATTGTAATAAGAGTATTGTAAGAATGTATTACAATTCCGTGTGATATCTGTTAATGTCATTTATTGTATTTGTTAACATTTGTATTTGTGCAACATAATTAATATTTGTAGATTGCCTTTGCAAGACTGTCTCTGTCTAAATTCCAATGGGCAGAATCTAATTCCTTTGCTGTACAGTGAGGAGCCAACTTCACTTTCTTGAGTCAACCATATTCTATTGTTATTGGTGATGAGATTAAATCTGTTAGCATTAATAAAGCTAATCAACTATGGATTGTAGAGTGTATGTGTTTCTGTCTGAATTAATCAGATGAAGATTTATTCTTATTTACAGTTGAATTAATGGCCACATCTTTGTTGCTATTATCACAATCTTTCAGTCATTGTGCCCTCTGTCTTTTTTCAGGTATTAATAGCTTATTGGATTAAGCACCAGTTTGTGAATTTGGTGAGACAGCAATTGTGAATTCAATTCTTGGGCTAGATAGTACAGACTTAGACTCAATGGAAACAGGATGAGCAATAACTGAGCAGTATTTTAAAAAAGAAAAAAAAATGAAAAGATATCCCTAGGCATAGACAGCAGAATGAGAATAATCTACTCTTACAGATTAAATAATGGGCTCAGTTTAAAATTCCCTGAAAGCTAAGCAGATAGCCAGAGGGCACAATGGAAGAAATGTTGGGCTAGTAGCAACAAAGATGAGGACATTAGTCTAACTGTAAATAATGTGTGTGTGCGTGCATGTGTGTAATATATAATGTACATCGGAATATGTGTGCATCCATTTGGCAGTGTATGGTCTATGTTTTGATACATATGGTTATATATCAGTAAATGAATTATTTAAACTATTTACATTTGGACTATTGTCCACATCTTTATTTTTGTTATCACATTTCAGCCATTGTTCCCTCTGGTTTTATCAGGTGTATATGTATTCTGGTAACCTACAGGGAATTCCAAACTGAACCCTTTATTTAATCTCGGGCATAGACTGTTCTCATTCCACTGCTCATATTTAGAGATATCGTCTAGTTTTTATTTTTTAGTACTACTCAGTTATTGCTCACCCAGTTCCCACTGAGTCCAAGTACATCATAAATAAATGAATGTTATGTATGTATGTATGTATGTATGTATGTTGATGTATATGTACATAACACACATGTTTATATATTTGTAGATATATGCACACACAAGTAAATGTTTCTTTTCCAATTTTTTTTTTTTTTGAAATTTTTATTCTTTGTGTTTCGTTGTTCTATTTCTAGTCTTGATTTTTCACAATTTAAAAAAAAAAAAAAATCTTTTCCCCTCTGACTCTGGTTTTTGTGAAGTGAAACTCTTAGTCCAAAAGAAATAAAAAATAAAGAAAACTCCCTACATTTTCCAAAACTTTGCAATATAGTTTTTGGTTGGAGGTAACCAGGCATTTATTGCTTAAGAAATAAAATATAAAACTTAGTGGAAAAGAGATTTAAAAAAAAAAAAAAAAAATTACCTCTTTGCAAAACAGGTGTGTTTTCACAGGTGGCAAAGAGCAGATAATTGTTTTTTTTTTTTTTTTTTTCAATGGATGATTTGGTTCACCCGACTTTGCTAAGAAAAGGCATTTCAAATCTACACAAGGGAAACAAAATAAAGTTCAGTACTTTCTGAAAATGAGAAAAAAAAATGATTTAAAAATAACTTTTTATTATTTTATATTTTATTTAATTTTCTGATGACTCAACTTTTCATTTTTTCTTTTTTTAACAATTGTTTAAATATAAAAAAAATACTGATGAAAGCTAGTTGTTCCAAACTTTTTTTTTTTTTTTTTAAATATTTGGAGATGTATACGCAGTACATGGGTATTATTTAATAAACATTAGCTTTTTATTTATTCTTTTGTAATTTCTGTCTTTATTTTTATAGAGTATTCCTTGTGACAAGAAGGTAGAAATTTTTCAGTTAATATACTAACATAGGAGAAATTTTTTTCCGCCTTTAATTTTGGAAACTGTTTATTGAACATTTTATCTCTTAAAGACTTATTGTTATTCTTTTTTCATATTGCAAAATAGGTATTCTTTTCAGATTATTCAATACATTAAATTAATGCTAAAATGAAAACAAATATAAAAAGCTACAGAACTATACATTATGAGAATAAAAACCCTGTTGAAAAAAAAAAAATCATTTTTGTTGTATAAATTAATCCAAAACCCTTTCTGTTTAAAGTGGCCATGAGAATTGTACTTTCTTTTTTTTTTCTTTTCAATTTTACTATGGTGTAATTTTTTAACAAATAAAAGAAATGTTAATGTCAACAATTTCAATTTTTTTGCAATATGACATCAATCAAATGTAAGCATAAAAAATTCCAAATAAAATTAGGATTTTGATAGAAAGTGGGGTTTTCAAATGTTTATTTTGTTTTTATTTTGAAAAGTTTTGTACTAAACTTTTTCTTTATTAAAAAAAGGCTTGTCTGTAAGAATTGAAATTTCTGAGGAAAAAATGAAATGCAGACTTTGATTTCATTCCTAAAGTAAATGTGGAACTGCAGAGTCGAGTTCAACCTTTTTTGTAATAAAAGAAAAAGAAATTAAAAAAAAATAATAATAAAATAAATTTAGTTTTAAAAGTTTATTGTTTTGTGTTGTATCGTTTTTACATTCTTAACATATTTGTAAACAAAACATTTTAATGACTTAAGCTGGTAGGTTTTACTATATTTTACTATTATTTTGTTTAATCCTCTTGCCATGACTTGGAACTGATACATCAAAAGTTGCAAACATTGATTAGGAGTGATGAAGAGAAAGGGCCCTATCCTGTTGCAAGGCTTGATATTTCAGAAAAAAAACTTTGCCAAAAATGATGCATTTAGACACTGAAATTCTGTCCCAGCTTCACTACTTACATGACCTTTCTCCTTCCAATTACAACTTTTCCTGGGCTCTTAAGATGCATATCTGTGCTAATATTAGCCGTTTCCCTGCAAAGGAAACATTTGGAATTCATTGACTGAGCAGCCAGTACTGTTTTTAGTTGAAATTTATAAAATCTTTCTCTGAAAAAACAATTTTTCAGGAAAATAGGTTTATCAAATCCAGAAGCTGTTATTGCTCTTTCCAGTATTGATGGGGGTTTCCTTCCTAAACTTTTTATTTGAAGTAG